ATGAATTTAGGTAATTCTAACTCTCAGATTTCCTTATGGCTTTTGAAATTGGTGCCTTTTAATGCTATGAAAAGCAGTCATGTTGCTTCTTCACAAATCTGATGAATAATTAACCCAAAATATGTTGCTTCTTCACATCATATCCTTCTGTCTTCTTTGCATGCTTTGTCATTTCCTGTGCTGGTTTATACTTTGAATGCTTAAATGAGAGTTTTCATTGGTTTTTGAACATGCAGTGTAGCGAGATGGCTGGGTAGAGAGCGTAGTGCTTTGTCATCTTGGAATTGAAGATGTCAGACAGTGACACTAGGTTCTACTCTGTATCAGTTGGAAATTGAGTATTCCTTTAGTTTGTCATTACCTTCCAGAAGAGACAGAGAACCTCACATAACTTCAATGGCTTTCAATTCAGAGTTCAGCATCACTGCCCAAACGGATGCGACGCCCCACCGTTTTAAGCCAGTTCGAAATTGGATACTATTCCTTTATACAGAAAAGCAAAAACAAAGAGGGCAGATTTTTTGGGTTTGTACATCTCTGTTTCTTAGTCCTTTTCTAAAGAAATCAATTCCCAGCTAACTCTCCCTTCTTCCTTGTCTTTTCAGGTCCCGTGTGAGAAATGAAGTTCCCTTGAACGGGGTGCATGAGGAGAATTGAAGTTCACTTGAACCGTATTCATGAGCATAAATAAAATACTGAAACGGACATGACCAAGTGTTCTTTAAGCGCTTAGATGGCGTTACGGCTTCTGAAGAACTAGGAAAAGAATAATAGGTAACTACTTCATCATATGCAATTGTTATATATTTCCACCGATCAAACAAACAATTTTCAATTATTCAATTCTCAAAAAAATTTCTCAGATGGTACTAACATTGGTTTACTTTCGATCTAGTTACTTCCATACATATGCAGTGAAGAGAAGAAGAAACAGATGGAGTGAAGAAAGCCAATAGCCATCATTCAAATGTATGTTCCCTGTTAATGCAACTGGGTATTGATCATAAGATTGACTCGACCTTTTAGCTACTACATTTAGGCTTATATACACAAACAGATAGATAATGTTCCATTCTATATGATGTGCATGTGATGTCTGGTTTGCGTGCATTATCATTTTCTGTGCTTGGTTATATCCGACACTTGCATAAACTTCATTCTAGTTCTATTCAGTTGATAATAGCTTTTCTGGAACAGGGACGTTGTAAAAGTACTGGCAAATTGCAAGAGTGCCGGAAGAGTGTGGTTCGAAGTGTGCTCAAGTCTTGTGGGACACTTCAGCAGTTGAGAGAGCTTTCAGTATCCCAAGTGTGGTATCTTGTGCTGCAGTGTCGAGCAACGTTCCTCCCTTCTGATTTCATGTTTTTTTATTTATTTTTTGTTTTATTTTGTTTCCTATTCCAAACCAGATTGTACCCTCAAGTCTTATAAACTATAAATAACACTTTGGTCATACAAGTGACTCAGGTGTACATGTGATGAATTTAGGTAATTGTAACTCTCAAATTTCCTTATGGCTTTCAAATTCGTGTCGTCTTGTGAAAGCAGTTTGTATTTTGTCATGATATGAATTAAATTCAGATATCTGCCAAGAATGAGGTTAATTCCCTTCATTACTCATCTTTTGGTTGTACTTTAGTTAATAATTGAGTGATAGTTTGGTTGTTTAAATTGAGAGATGTAAACATTCATCTTGTTAATTAATCCAATTATCGTTTTCATACAAAAATTTGAAAACTTATCGTGAACAACTATAATTTGTAATGTTGTTTATCCCATAAATTGTGAATGATAAAATTATCGATTTATTTTTACAAGTTTTTTTGTCTAACAACCCCTAGATGTGGATCGGAAGAGAATATTTAAAGAATTTGCCAGCAGCACCCTTCTTTCCCTCCATAGAGGAGAGCAACTCATTCTAAGCTGCGGAGAAAATGCCTCCTCCCTTGCGGGTAACTGATTTGAACCATAACAAAAGTACAATGACAACAGAAGATAGCGGTCAAAGCAAACTTGCGAAAGAATAAAAGCATAAAGAAAATATCAATGCTTTTTTGTGCTTTTTTTGTTAAATTAACAACAAAACGTGCCTTCTCCTCCTCTTAGGCACAGTTGATCTAGTTTAGAGAGCTGCAGCACGATTTCACCTTTTAAATATACAAGCAGTAACTTACAAAGTAACGTAATGAAACAAAAAAGATAAAAGGCATCCCTTAATACAAATCCGCGGTCTTGTTTTTTTAATTCAACATTAGTCAGTCACTAACTAGGTATTTAACACCCTCACCAAGACCTCATCTGTGCCTCTCACCCTCTCCCCTTCCTTCCTGAGGAGGCCTTACGTTTCGTTCGACCACAACAAAAAATAATAATAATAAAGGGAAACTCACTGGAGTCATAATGCCACCTATATATAAATCATGATTAGGTGGCTCCTTTCCTGGCAGTGTAGTTAGATGACAGTCTTCTGGCCCATGGGCTTTGATTAGCTGACCATGAAATTGGGAAGCCAAGCACGGCGCACCATCTTAGATTCAAAAGGGCAACAGCAAGGTCCTCTTCAGAATCTTTAAAAAGCTGTACTATTCGTGATTCAGCTTCCGTGTCTTCAGCAAAGATGAAGTCATCCTCAAATTCTGCCTTTTCTGGAAAGCTGCCATCTTCTTCACATATCATGCGCATACTCAAAACCTGCAGTGCTTCCATGGCCGTGCTGTGAAAACCACTGTTGGCATATGCAGAGAAAACAAAATGGCAGGTCGCTGGATCCGGCTGGACTTTTTCTTGGTCCATCCACTCAACGACAAATTCAACTACCTCAATCACTTCCTGACATTTATTGCAGGGGAGAAGAAAAATATATATTACTAACGAATAATGCAACCACAATTTTTGTCGTTGATCAAATTATAATCATGTATATCGAGAACCATGCTGCTCTTTTGATCTTATGAGATTATACCTTTTCACAGGCTTTTTCAAGAATGGTATTAAATAGCAAGGTATCAAGTTCATTGCGTTCTGAACTGGCTTGATCCAAAAGATTCAATGCTTCCTCAATGTCATCATCTTCCAACAGAATCTGGAACAAAACAAGATTCAACATCTTCCTCAAAGTCATCATCTTTAATTAAATTACTTATATTTTCAGAGAAGACAAAAATGTAACTTTCCTTTTCTTTTCTATAGCTTATCTATTCATTAAATTACTTACTTCATCCAAAAATGTGGTCATGCAAAGGGCTATCGAAGAATTTCTATAGCTTATCTATTCAACTTGAAATTAAGTGCATTCTCAGACCCAAAAAAAAAAGAAAAAAAAAAAGAAGAAGAAATTAAGTGCATTTATATATTGCAAATACTCTAGTCAGAAAAAAAAAATTAAAGAAAGCATGAAGAAGGATGAAGGAAGGGGTTTTATGTAAACAAAGCAGAACTAAAATGTAACTAGTTTGCACATCAAGAGTTGGAAAAATTACACTTTTCGATCACATACATAAATGGTAGCAGTTTCCTAGGATGCTTGATAATTCAGACTGAGTAATCATAATATTAAAGCTACCTTTATGAGAATGGTATAAGTCACTGTTAATGGATAAAAGCCATCTCGCAACATCATGGAGACCAATGCGCAAGCAGATCTGTAACATCCTAGAATGCTACAACAATCAAT